AAGACCCGTAGAACGTTCCTTATCTTTGGGGATCCACCCGTTGCTCGGTTTACCATCATTCCGCCCCGCTAAGAACATGGACTATAAACCTCGATATCAACACATCTGATTGTGTTTTTCTTTTCTTGCAAATTGTTCACGGATACATCGTTTCCCTAGTAGAATTCCCATCGTTTGTCTGAAATACCATAGAGAATAAGAGATTGAGACCTCGAGGCGAGATGAATGCATTTGTTCGTTTATCCTACAAAACCTCTTTGACTGGACCGGGAGGTGTACTCCACCATTAACGTATAGTACCCACTTGGCCTGCATCTGGACTGGCTCCGGGGACGCTAAGGAATGTGATGTCTTTGGCAGTTCCATGTTCTGTCTTCTCAAGCTTGTCCGATTATCTCCAACTATGTAGCCATAGGAATTGATAGTACCTGCGTATAGACCGGTCCCGACTCACAGGTGCGGGCGAGGTACATTAGTTTCAATTTTAGTACCGAGCTTGTGACCAGTCGGGCCGATGATTATTCGAGATGCCGGTCAGATCTATACTCGAAAATAACACCCATGTAAGACTATATGATATGTTTTAAACCCAAAAACAAAACTGGGGCCGTGCGAGTATGCAGAGAATGAAAGGATGACCTTCTAGATCCGATACCAAAGTACTACCTTGACACAAGTTGATTGGAGGAGTAATGTATATGTAGGCCCAAATAGTCTGCATACTATAAAAAAAAAAAGAGTAATCGGGCTTTTAAGAAGACGGGAGTGGCACATAAAATCAATGGAATCGAGCGAAGCGCCGTAAATCGGTCATTTCCCCGTGACAAGAGTAATACCGGTACGCTCATTTACATATAGATTACATAGATTACAAGTCCTTCTTGTTCAGAGTCACTCTCTCTCTCTCTCTCTTTAGGGACGTGATATTATTATTCTTTCCCTCTTTTCTTGTTATTTTTGTTCTTTTGAGAATACCTACACGGAGTACATCTTTGATTTTAACTTATACCTCTTGGTTATAGTCATTGCGTGGTCGGCAGTAAACTGCCCTCCGTTTTCCCCGTCTTCCCACACAATTCCCTTCTCCTCTCCATCTTTCTTCTTTCATCCCACTTTATTCTCATCTTTCCTTTTGTCATCCTCGGAGGGATTTTCTCTTCCATCAAAAGATAGATCTTTTCGGGGCATGAGCGTCTGGAGGGTCTAGCCCCCCCTCCACGACTCATCAGGAAATCCAAAGAGGCGTCGAGGCTGGGTGGTGGTCTCCAGATCCCATCGTGCGTTTTCTCTCATCCCAGTCGTCAGCTTAATTATCTTATTATAATATATTATTATCATAAGATCCGTTCCGTGCTAATAGGCGTCTTGCGTTGACAGACCCTGGTCGTTGGCTGAATCCTGCCAATCGTCTGTCGCTTGGCTGCATTCGATCATCAACTTCCGGCAAGGGTCTCGTTTACGGCGGGTACGGAGGAATTTCAATCCAACCCACCTGTTTGCCGTTCATCCCCTCCCCCCCCCCACGGTCGCCTCTATTTGAATTACTTGTTCCCTCTGATTGAAACCCTCTCCATCGGAGATTATGGAGGGGATACATCATGGAGGGCATGGGGGAGCCCGGCCATCCCAGCCTATGGCGTTCCCCGATTTCGACGCCGATTCTCATATGGTGTCCGACGACTTCTCCTTCGACACCCCATTCAGTCCCTCTGGTTCCTCCAACGCCAATGATGGTGTCCTCGGCAACTCCATCTTTCCGGAATGGACGAGCGGTGCATCCCGTGGCGACAATCCTGATGAGATGCAAAGGAAAGATCCGCTGGCCGCGCAGATTTGGAAGCTCTATACCAGGACAAAGTCTCAGCTGCCCAACCAAGAGCGCATGGAGAATCTGACCTGGCGAATGATGGCCATGAACCTCAAGCGCAAGGAACGGGAACAGCAGGCTCGGTAAGAAACGCTCCTGCCAATCCTAAAGCATATAGCTGATTTACTGATATCCGAACAGCGCCTCGGAAGCTCGAAGCCCGACACCGAGCGGCATCGCGCAGATGCGCTTGTCCGACCAAGTATCGCCCGCTGGCCCCGATCCTTCGCACGATATGAACCTTGATGCCACTTCAGATCCAATGAATCTGGATGACTTCATCGTTCCCTTTGATTCGCCTGCCGAACACTCCACGCATCCTTCGGTCGATCGAAACTTCACAGCGACACCCACTGGATCAATTCCTATTAAATCGCGCAAGGACCATGCGATGACGGATTCATCGACCGCCGCCTCATTCCCCCACCCACCCCAGGATCAGCGAACAAACTCCGAGTTTGGATACGTCCCCCGTCGGGTCCGCAAAACGAGCGTCGACGAGCGGCAGTTCTTCGCCGGCCTCTCTGTTCCTACCCGCAAGCGCCCTGCCGAGGCCTCACCCCAGGTTCCTCCGGTGTCCAACGCTATGATGGCGCAGCACTCGGAACTTTCAGCGGCACTGCCAGATTACTCTCTCGATCATCCACCTTCTGCTTTTGCTCTTTCTGGCAATGGCACAGTGGGCCCGCGCAGACCTCAACATCATCACACGCATTCCAACATTCCCTACGGGCTGGATACGTATGGCATCAACGAAGACCACGGGCTCAATTCAGCCGGGCCATATCAGCAAAATTTCCATTTTTCGCCGTCGGATTCTCCAATGACTGCAGGAAATCCTTTCTCGAGTCTATATGCCCAGACGCCGCTCGCCTCGTCGCTGAACTCAACTGAGTTCTTCTCACCCCCGCCTTCTGGCTACCAGTCTACTGTGTCGACCCCGCAACCGATTTATGAAGGGGAGCAGTCGATATTCTTTTCTGATGCGCCCTCCGCGGAATCCCATACCCAGCGCCGCATTCCTAATTATATCCAGCAGCGTCAGTCGAACCTGTCTGCATCGCTGCAGCCACGTTATATGTACAACATGTCCAACGGTGAATCTCACCCAGGGAGCGCAGTTACAGGGCCACCAACCACTAATGTGTCTGGATTTTCGGTGCCACAACCGCAGCACGTCAACCCATCACAGGTGCTTGGCCACGGCGAGTTCTCCGCAACGGCGCCTGCCAGCAGCATGTTTACCTTTGGCGGAGATTCAGACAATGAGGATGACGATGGTAACTTTGGTGAACGCGGAGGCATTACCATGCCAAATGACTTTGCATCTTTGGATGAGTCTGTTGATATGAGCGCCGGTCTTCATTGGGACGGAGGTTTCCCCGGATCAGTACAGTCGCTCCCAGGCTTCAGTGCTCAGCACCGCAAGCATGTTACGATAGGATCCACAGACATGATAGATGGCCCCTCTGAATGGAATCAGGGAGGTACTCTTGGTCGTGCGCATGGATCCGCTGCTTCGGTCAGCGAGGTGCGCAACCAAAACCAGGACCCTCGTCGCTACGGGAAGGTTCCTCGTACAGCATCGACCCCCAATGCTGCTGCACTGCTCCGTCAGAGCTTGAATGGCTCAGCCAGCGGGCCTCCGACAAACCACCCCTCACCAAGCACCCCTCCGGAGTCCGGTCTCAGCAGTGCGGTACCCTCCCGGCCAGGCAGCCCTGGTGGGTCGAAGAACGGTGACCCGAACGCGGGACCGACCACCTGCACCAACTGTTTCACCCAGACCACTCCTCTCTGGAGACGCAACCCAGAGGGCCAGCCTCTGTGCAATGCATGTGGCCTGTTTCTGAAACTCCATGGCGTCGTCAGGCCACTTTCGCTCAAGACCGATGTGATCAAGAAGCGAAACCGCAGCAGCGCCAACACACTTACCGTTGGTACTTCTCGGTCATCTAAGAAATCTTCCCGCAAGAACTCCATTCAGCATGCCCCATCCACATCGATATCCTCCCGTATGAACACTTCTGAGTCTCCACCCTCGATCAATGGATCCAGCACGTTGGGGAAACCCGGTGTTGTGCCAATTGCCGCTGCCCCGCCCAAGTCCGGTCCCCGGCTGGCGTCGCTCAGGCCCGTGCTGGTGTGCAAGTAGCACCCAGACGGCAGCGCAGACTCGAAAAAGCACCAGCTGGAGAACCAGATGCAGACGACAGCCCTAAGTCAGCCGCTCCCCCGAGCCGGTCCAAAGTCGTGCCATTAGCTCCGGCGATGGCACCACCCGCTGCCGCAAACCCAGCGAACCACAGTATCGCCGGTGGACAGGGTGCGAGTCAGGAATGGGAGTGGCTGACAATGAGTCTGTAGTTGGCTTCTACCACATGGCCTTGTGCTTCTGCTGAGTTTTGCCGATGTGTGACCGGGCTAGCCACCACTATAATCTCACGTATTACACGACTTATGTCCCCTGCGGTCGTGGCTCCTTTATTACTCTCATGCTTTTTCTGATTATTATACGTCACGTGTGCTTTTCTTTTTGTTGATTTGATTGATACAACCGCGTCTGTCCGGGACCCGAGCTGCTTATTATGTTTTCACTTTCACGTTTGCTTTTTTGTTTTGTTTTCGCAGCTCGGAGCCGGGCAGAAGTGCGCATCTCTCTCCCGCCTTTGACTTTTTTTTTCTGATACTACTTACTCATCTATTCTTGGATTCTTGCGCTGCTGAGCAGGCTTTGATTAATGGATCTCATCCTTGCGTGATTACTTCTAGACCTTCAATATGATCATGATTTTCTCCAATTCATTCTCTCGACACGCTTAGCCTATCAACTTAGGTGTAATTACCTAAGCCCTAAGCATCAACTGCAGGCTGAGCGAACAGTGACATCACAACTAACTTCATCCCCGGACATTAAGCCGGGAAAACAATCCACGTCATGTCGACGAATATTTGGGCAGTACGTCTTTGCGCTTCCTCAAAATATATTACTTTTACGCCATACAACCCAATATCAGACCACAGCACACTAAGCCAGCAATCAACTTAACACCCAAGACATTTGGAAAGGCAGTATGGAACCTCTTCCAGTCAACATTAACAAGGCATAGCTGATTCTTTTCAACAAGACGACATGTCTAACACGGACGGTGAGTAGCTATCTCGTGGACTCCTCCATGCAGAAACCAGCTCACACGTCGTAGAAGGCTCGGAACCATTCACAACCAAAACGAATACCACAGATAGGGTCACCGGCCGTGTCCATGAGTCTGCCAGTAATGCGCGCGAGAAGATAGCTGAAAAGTTCCAACCCGGTGCGTATTTCCCGCAGTGATAGGCCGCGGGCTTTGCGCATACGACGGATGACATTTGCTCTGGGAATGAATTAAGTGTTGTTTGTTGAGCACCAGCTAAATAGACTGATTGCGTTCTACAGGAGATACGAAGGCGACGTCTCGTCGCGCGTCGGATACACCCGACAATATCTGGCAATTTGGACAGGGTGGTCCGAGAGAAGAGCGTGATTATGGACTGGAGAGGGAAAAGTCTCTGCTGCAGTCGGCGCAGGAGACAGTGGCTAAGGCCCTTGGTGGAGGGTCTCGTGGTTAGTTGCTGATTATGGTAGTTACTTGATTATTTGGTTTTGCTAATCGAATGCTTCAGGTGCAACCTAAATGCCTACCTAGGTATATGAGCCGATTACAAATGTATAGTTATATAGGATGGAATTTCAGGTGATGTTTATACATCCATTGTGAGGATTGGCTGTACCATTCCTTCTCCTACGCCTTTATTTTGAATAAATTATGCATCGAAGTCCGGTAACTTCCCACTTCACAATGTACAGGATGTAAACTGTGTTCAGTTGTGCCAACCTTCCTAGCGAATAGATGCCGAATGGATATTGCGGACTCGGATCGTTGAGTTGGATATACTTCGAAATATCAACATAGTTTGTGTGAAGTATACATCGAATTTCTGCAATAAAAGGATTATAAAGCATAAGTAGCTCTTAATAAGCCGAAAGTGGAATCACCTACAACATTGTACGGAAAAGAAGGATTTATCACAATATACTTCCCGTTCAGGAAGGTTTATGCCTCAGGCAACAACTGATATGATGAATCACGTGTGATAATCAGAGCAAAAAAAGAATCACTGACAGCCATCCATCTCCAACAATCAATTGATTTTGCGCAGCCATGGGGTCCAGCTCTAAAAGAAAGAAGGATAAGCAAAAGGATTTCCAGGTTAGAATCACAAACCTCCGTTTCTTCTCTTCAACCAACTAACATCTGCAGAAACCTAAACTCAAAGTTGGGAAAACCAAAGCGAAGCCCGACAACTACACCGATACCAGTTTCAAGTCGAAGTGTAAGTGCATTTTTATAACTGCTTGACATCTTGTCATGCTCACAATCACTAGCAATTGTCCTCACACAACAATCCCTCCACCTCGCCGCCCCGACTTCAAATGCTACATTCACGCATAACTTATCTCTCCTCTCCGCCAAGTCCGACAGCCAACGACGCGACTCGCTCGCTTATCTGACTACCTCGATATCCTCTCGGCCAGTAAACTCTCCTCTACCACAACCTGTGAGCGTTATTCTACCATCTCTGCTGCCGCTCATCCTCGATGGAGCCACCAGTGTACGGACCCAGCTCCTCAAGCTCTTGCGGACCCTGCCACCGGGCGATGTCGAAGACCATGTGGCGCAACTCCTTCCCTACGTTCGTGCAGGAATGACCCATCTTGCAGCAGACATCCGTAGTTCTGCTGTGGAGATCCTATCATGGATGGTCGAGGCAGCGGGAGAATCAACAGTTTCCTGCGCGGGAGGTTGGATCAAAACGCTCAACTGCTTCTTGTCCGTGTTGGGCTGGCACACCGAAGAGTCATCGCAGTGGTCCTCAAGCCGGGCTTCATTTGGGAAGTCTGGCAGCCAGGGCAAGCCCATGGTCAAAACGCTTGGGGCTCTGGCGATGTTTTTGGATGCGGGGATCGGAAAACCTTCGGTCGACGGTGTGGATAGTGAAATGTCTGGTGATGATGAGAGTCCGGACTGGCCCTTCCCCCTTTGCCAGACCGCCCAGCACATGATCTCGGACTCATCTACTCCATTCGCATATCTGAATCTGTTTGGGAAGCCGCGCGATGAGGAAGGGGAGATGTACGAAACTCGTGAGGATAGGTACCGCGTGTTCTCGACTCGTTTCCAGCCAGCAATCGAGCGTGGAATCAAGAGCGCCAGAGAGGAAGGTGGCGAACTAGGCCGTGCATCATCCGGTGTGAGCAAGGTGTTAAAAGAAGCGATTGCGTATGGACCAGGTCCATGAATTGTTCAGCCACGGTTTATGAGCAAAACCAAATCCATCCAATAGAATGGTACCGTGACTTGGGCCTAGGCTGGGACCTAAGATTCTTGCGGGCTCTACCTATAAAGCTACCAGTGGACCACGCATCCAATTCAAGCCAGCTCGGGCATGAATACCACAGTGTCTGTCCTTATACAGACGGTTTCGCCCTGCGAAACTGCAATCAGCGTCGAATAGACCCTTCGGGTACGCCCTTTGGCCGGGGTGGTCATGGGCTTTGTGCCCTTGCAGCAGGTACAAGCAAGATATATACAATACCAAAGCTCCGAGCCAGAGTCTTAAGCTGGAACCTCATATATCTATCTCTTCATGGAACCTCAATCTTAGTCATTTATGCCTATAGCCCTGCCCAGGTGGCGAGCCGGAAAACCACGAACGAAATAATCTAATGTTATCCATGGGAAATTCATTCAAATTTTTTTATTTTTCTTAGAAATTGGGGGACGAGAGAACTGGACTTCTTATTTCTTTACAAACGCTGAAAAGACAAACATCAAAGTCCTATTATTGGACAGGTTCTAACGCATTGTACTGTTATACATGCATGTATGGACATCGAGTCACTTCCCGATGGATCCCGGCCCAAAAGACCAAATCCAGGCCTTGGAACGAATATGTTTGCTGCGGTATGTGCACGATAGACAATTTTTTATTCGCTTATAGATTCTTTGCCGTCTCGGAAGTGGGTATAGTCTTTACACATTTAAGACAAGAGGGGAAGAGTTGACATGTCTTGTAGGTGGGTCACTACTTTTCATTCTTTTAATTTCGGGAAATCAAGAATGAAGTCGAACACTGCATGAAGAAGAGCCGTTTTTTCGGAGATTAATGCAGGCAATCGTACATACAACATAGAGATGGTGTACTAACTACCTGAGTTGGTAAAGTGTGGGACAACGAAAGCAAGGGATGACTTCGAGTTCAGTTTGTGATTGCACAGAATCTTATTCCTAAATTGAAACTGCCATCTAACTTTCTCTATATATCACTTATAATGCCGATATAGATTAATGATATCAGTGTTCCACAGGGCTGTACCTTCGTACATGTCTATCCCTGTCCCGGTGTGATTTGTATGGAGTGCATGCATATTTGACATATTAACATATTGACATCTTGATAATTATAGTATTCAAATCATTCAGCTTAAATTAAATGTGTTATTGATTCCCTAGTCTATTTCCAATAGTTCATGAATTGTGTGTGTGAGCTATCTCGCCCTCTCATATTTTCCATATTTTCCCGATCTACATGTACTTTTTCCCATGATCGACCATGATCGACTGTTTCTACCCGTCTAACGGATCCCTGAAAATTCTGATATGCACAGCTCCGATCTAAACTCTTGCTTTATTTGGGAAAATCACGCTAAGTGAAGTGACTTGAAAAGTTTCGGATCTGATACCTCATATTGGGGAGGGTGGGGAGGTGGGGGAGGTGGGAAGGACGGAGTACAGGACCTGACGTTTTCTCTCTTTACCCCCCTTGCATTCATATCGAAGGGGAACAAGGAGAAAAGCTAATTAAAAGGAAAATCAGTTCAATTGATGATTAGTCTGTGGTTGGCCAGCATTGTCCCTGCCACAATAAACACAATGGAAAAGAAAAGGCGAAAACCCAGACGGCAACATGCAGCCCCATCAGCAGTCTGCCCAGTGTCATCCAATTGCTGTGTCATATTTCCTTCCCGGTTAAACATCGCGATATCAGTCTGTTTGATCGAGTCTAGCAAGGTTCTCCACAAGACCTTGCTTGGACGAATCCCTTTGGACGAACCTCTTTTCATTATATGCAGGACTTGTCCTTCGGATTCGTACTACCGTTTTAGCCTCAACCTATATGTGCCTTTCCTTCCGGGAGGGGGTTACCCGTAATACCTAGGTACTCTCCTGTCTTTCTATTTCAGGACAAGTAAGGATAGAGGTTTACCTGGGATCCTATTAAACTCTCTCTATTTCCGTCTCGCAGTTTCGACTTTTGGTCGCTCGTTTCGACTCTCCCAAGAACGCCTCAACTCTTGTCGACTTTGTACATATGGACTCTTGTACATAGTGGTGTCAACTTGTGTCGACATATCATATTCCCCGCGCGTCTATATAGCCTCACAGGCCCCCTGTCGTGTTGGCCCTCTTGTGCAGGTGAGCATGCCTCGCTCCCGAGCTAGTGTCTCTGTTCATCTCTCTAACTTGGGAAGTATAGAATTGTTAGAATTGTCTATTGTTTTACCCGAACAGCCTGGATTTTCATGTCGACAACCGGGAACTGTCGGATTCCAAAGTCAGCCAGTAATTGATGCTCCGTCTCCCTATGCATCAGCTTGATTCACCGCATGACTGCGCTGTCGCACCAAGCCCAATTGTTCGGACTTATCGACCTGATCCTCCCTCGAAACGTAGGATCCCCAACATGAACATGACGTCTACAAAGACTGGACCACCGCCTAAACCTCTGGCCGCCCCCCAGGCCTCGAGGCGGCAGTGCTCCACGACATGAAGCCCGATCAGCAGGCATGGCTGAAAGGGCTGGTAGAAATGAAAGCCTAGTGGACATGGTTCGATTCCTCCAGAGTCAAAATATGCCCTCTCAGCCCCCGCCTCTATCTCTACCTCCATCCCAACCTCAACCCCGCTCTCGCGCTCCCTCTCAACCTCAACCCTCAAGTCCCTCTGATACAACTACTGCACTCCCTGTTCCTATTTCGCCTAAAGAATCGAAGTCAGAATCGAAGCCAGATTCAAAACAGGATCCGAAGCCATTTCATCGTCGCCTCTTGCAGTTTGCCCAGCGCCCAAAGAAGGAATCATCGCCCAGGTCAAAGCAAGAAGAGCAGCAGCGTCAAATAGAAGCACTAACGCGGGGAGGGTATCTTATCCCAGCGGCTCCTCCAAATGAATCAAAGGGGCAGAAGGAGGCAAAGCGATCAAAAGAAAGCCTGTCACTATCTCTCTCGCGGACTCTTTCCAAATCAAAGAAAGATGTGGAAAACATTGGACAGCCATGGCTGCAAGCCAAAGTCGATTGCGACAGACGACCGATTGAGACAAGACATCGCTTGGGCTCAATGGATCTTGCTGCCTTTGGCTCAATGGTCGACGTCGCAGTCTCACTCGCTCCCGATTTGGACGATTCTATGCCACCGCCATATCAGCCAACCGATCACACCTCCCAATCCCCATCAGCTTTCCCGACGTCAAGTTCTGCAGCAGACCCCAGTCCTCAAACTATCACCCGACCAACTTCCTCGTTGGCTTCTACCAGTCATTCGTATAGGAATATGTCAATTGATGAGCAAATCCAACGGCCATCTAGCTCTACAGAGTCAAGTACCCGCGCTGACCCTGTCTCACAAGTCACTCTCAACGCATTAGATGCATCCGTGAGTGCGAATGGGACAGAGTCAAAGCCTAAACCGTCTATCGATATCCCAAAGCGAAATCAGTCAGAACAATCTTCTGTCCGCAATGTCACGCCCATGTCGCCTACCTTGAAACTTTTCCCAGATGTTGCACCTCCTCGCACATCTAGCAGGGGCCCGTGGAGAAATTCATCAATTCCTCGGTATCAAATGATCGAGAATACCACAGCGTCGCCGACATCTCCGGTGCCCAGCCCACGAATTGGGCCTTCTGACAACGAATCCAAAGTTCCAGATAAGCCAAGAACATCATCAGATGGTTTCATAGATGCTACAGTCAGCAAGGCAGAACGAAAGTGCCCAGACGCCCTTGCACCTTGTGCGACCTCTTCTGCAGAAGCACTATCTGCAGTAAAAGCCTCAAAGGACTCTGCCTCCCAAGATGAGACCACAATTCGACCGCTTTCATTGTCTCTAGGCACACTGCAGGCATTTCCTCTCCCAGCGCCTACAAAGCCCCTGCCCTCAGTGCCCAAGACCAAATGCTCGCCGACTACTCCGGACACCAACGCTCGCTCTAGTCGAGCGATTGATTCGGAGACATTGTCTTCCAACCTGCATTCTCCTTCTGCAACATTGGTTGAAGACCAGGAGATCCGATCCGCTACCGACAGTCCTTGTGCCCTTGGCTCGCGTCCGGCAACCGCTCTTGGCAGCCTCGGTGCTGGAGGGTCAATCGCCGATGACGAGGAAAGCTTGTTGACCGCTTCGCTTTCGGAACACTACAACCCAACCCCGGAACATTGCACTCCTAGAGGACGTGTTTCAAGTGTGCGCATCCCTCGGGTGCAAGAACTCCCCGAAAGCCCTTCAAGTCAATGTGATGCGGAGGTCTCCGAGGGGCGGCCTTTGGCCGACTCTCCCGTCCTAGGACACTCTATCCCTACAAAGTCCAATGGCAAACGTGCTGCTCTGAAGGGGCTTCAGATCAATTCCCAAGTCAGTCGGAAGAATCTTCCATTTGGTCTGCCATCGCCTCCACCCACTGCATCACTCCCATCAGCTCCACCTCCTCAGCACCCACCTCCTCCGCCTCCTGGGCGGAAGATTGGCCAGCGCAACTACACTGCACCTAATGTGGCTACTCCACCATCAATGAGGAACATGGAGGCACACCCTACACCGGGGTCCTACCGATGTTCGGCCTTATCCCGGAGCAACAGCTCAGGGAGCAGCCTTCGACATGAGAGTTTCCCTGAAACATACCAGCAAAGTCGCCCTGAATCTCGCCCCGAGTCCCCACTTCCATCGTCAGATGACGAGGTTTTTGGCCCAGAGATAGACACCAAACACTCGCGCCGAGAGGCCGATAACTACCAGCGCATCCAGCCAACACGCCGAGGATACGAGACAATTGATCCACGGCAAAGATCCTCCCGCAATCAACTTCGTTACCCCAATCCTGCGCGCCCTATGACACCCCAAAGCCGCAGCATCCACAGTCTTGAGAAGACTTCGTCTCCTCAGTCACAATACTCCCAATCAACCCACAGATCGAGGGAGTCTCAAAGCAGTCAACACATCCGCGCTGCTCCTCAAAAGGATCACTACCTCGAAGACCGGGTTGCGAACCTGGAACGCCAGAACCAGATTCTACAGGCCGCTCTTATGGCGGCGCTCAATGCCGGAGCCAAGAACCCCTTCCAGGGTCTCAATCTTGACCCGAACATGTCATCAAACTCCCCACACGCTCCCTTTGCGCACCAATATCCCGGCCGCCATACATCACGGCCTGACAGCTGGGTCAGCTCTTCTCGCAGCAGTGAGCACAGCGGATTTGAGACTTCTAGCTCCTACCGAGAGAGCCGGGCAAGCGTCAAACAGCTAGACAACATGATTGAAGACATCGAGACTGGTTGGCTGTCGGACAAGTCCAGTCTCAGTGGAACCCGAATTGCCCGCAAACGATAAATAACGATATTTTCCCTTGCTTTCCTTATATTCTTTTCTTTTTTACATCTTCATTCCTTCTGACGGAACCATATTACTCATTATTGGCTTATGATGATCTTTTTGGCTTTTACTTCTACATATCCCGACCCTGTCTATCTTTGCTTATTTTCCCATGATACCATTGTGTTTTACTCTCTTTTTAATTTATATTATTGCACTGAATTTTGCGGTATTTATCACTGAAACAATCTAGATCTATATAATTTCCATTCCTTGCAAGGTTGACGTAGGACCGAATAACCCTCTCGTATATAATTGAAATTATTTGGTAGATCTTTAATTACAAGAGGAGTTATTAGTTGTTTTGTTCTATTTTACTCGTACCTGAGGAGCTTACATGGAGATCTTTACACCTGGGCAGGATATCCACCGATGTTTTTGTGCCCATCGCAATGCTTAGTCATTTGTTTTGGGGACGCCCAAGCAGTCAACTTCTTGAACTCCATGTGCTTCAATCATTCTGGCTGAAGGAAAACACATAGCTGAAGCAGCAATTGCAAAGACATGAGATGCTCAGTGCTAGTCTAACCCACCCCTGGCCATAACCTCTCACACCGCATACCAGCGCACTCTTCACATTCCCCGCGGAACCCCCCAACCATGGCGGACTCAGGCCAAGTAAGTGCAATTTCTCCTCCAAATGCGCTCAACTATTCTGACAAACCTCGAAAGCGCACACAGCAGGTCCCCCAGCATGTCACCACGCTGCTCTCACACCTCACCTCCCGCCCGGGCGTGCAATCCACCTTGATTCTCTCCCGCAAAGACGGATCCATCATCCAAAGCACAGGACAGCTAGCACAAACGACCGAAGAAAATGGAAGCTCTCGCACCGCACAGATCCCCCAATCCACAACCGACTCGAACCCCCTCTCCGCCGCCCAACCCACAGACCCGTCCCCTGCCTCGCCCGCCGTGTCACAGCCCTACCAACCCTCGCAAGCCGAGACACTAGCTGCCCACATCTTTGCCTTTGTCTCCAGTGCCGAGGCACTGGGTATCTCGCTATCGCGGCCCACGCCCACTGTGCAGCGCTCCAGTGACAGCCATTGGGATGTTAACTACGACTATGGGAACGAGGCGGGCGCAGCACGTGAGGAGGACCGGGACGGCGATGGTGTTGACCGGGACGAGGACGGGGAAGTGAAACTGCTTCGAATGCGCACAAAGAAACATGAGATTGTTGTCGTGCCGGATCGGAAATACCTGCTGTGTGTCGTACACGATGCCTCCCCCGTGGAGCTGGGGCAGCGAACTCACGTTCCCGGTAGTGGAATTATTGATCTTCATTGTGGATATGGCTGCTTTCATGTGGTTCTCTCGGGGTTTTTCTTGTGTTTTTGCAGGGGCTTGTTTTGTTGGTTTGGATTTCATACATATACCCGATGGAAGGAAAATCTTCGCATTTAATTCATGTTTTCCATGTCATGGCTATGTGTAGAACTGCCCATGTACGGTTCACCAAGGATTGGCGTCTATCTGCACTATTCTAGCATAACGTCGTTTTCCATTGCTTTATTTAGGGATGACTGCGGGCACCGCGCGTGGCTGTTTGAGTGAAGCAACCTACTTCTTCTTCAGGGCTGTTCATGTAGATGTGCTGGCCGCAAGCTCTATGATGTAGAGTCGGCATGTCCCCAACTCAGAACCCCGAGATGGAATGGTATCCAAACACAACGTACATAGTATGTAGCTTGAGACCGGAGTAAATCCGTTACCAGCTCCACTGTTTACCCCTCTCAGCACGCCCTATGCCAGACAACTATTAATTGGACAGATATCCTTCATATCTTGCAATAATTCCCACCTTAAATAGTGCAGCTATTATCAAGCTATATCAAGTGGATTAGACGATATTCAAAATGGCCTCTGCTCTCGATATTTCGGCAGCTCGCTCTCGCTTCCCTGCACTGCAACAGGAGCAAGTGTACATGGACAATGCTGGTGAGGTGGACCTCCATTTTATAGCCGCGGTAACTTTAAGATTTGTGCTGATTGTTAAACTACAGGCGGAAGTCAGGTTCTTGATACTGTGGCTGACTCGTTAGTCCCATCGGCGTTCATTGTAGATTGCTATATACTGACGCGGCCATAGCATCCGTTCTTATCTGCTGAACACGAACGTCCAGCTCGGAGCCAGCTATAAAGTCTCCCAGATTTCGACTAATGCGTACGACAATGCATACAAAGTGGCTGCTGGGTTCATCAACGCCGCGCCCGAGGAGGTATCTACTATAAGCCATGGCGCATACTTCCCAAGAAATATAAGAACTGCCAAACTTCGGGTGCTAACGCATGAAATTGGAAACAGATCAGTATTGGTATCTCAACCACCCAGCTATTGCACAATCTCGCTACGGCGCTTAAATTCCAAGCTGGTGATGAACTGGTTCTTTCCAAACTCAACCATGAGGCCAATACCTCCCCGTGGGTCCATATAGCAGAGAGGTTGGGCTTGACCGTAAAGTGGTGGGCTGCTTCCGACCCAAAGAATCCAGTGTGCGAGCCGGCTGAGTTGAAGTCCCTGCTCTCCGATAAGACCAGACTTGTAGCATGCCCACATGCTTCCAATATCACTGGCACTATCAGCCATATCCGAAGGATAGCAGACGTGGTTCATGTTTATCCTCGTGTGGGTGACTACGAAATCTATTGGTTTATATGCATTTGCTCGCACGGACATATATACAGGCACTGCTGTGTGTGGATGGAGTGGCCCTGGCTCCGCATCGTCAGGTCGACGTGAAGGCGTTGGACGTGGATTTCTATGTAATTGCAACCCAAAACCTTTGGGTGACTGGTCCATTGCTGATCAACCCCACTACATAGGCATTCTCCTGGTACAAGGTGTATGGACCACACTTGGCACAACTATATGCCTCATCACGCGTTCACGACCAGATCCAGTCACTGGGGCATTTCTTCAAGCCCACAGATACACTAGACCTGAAGCTCAACCTTGCATCGGCTAATTATGAGCTTACACAGAGTATCACCGAGGTTGTGGAGTACTTTGGCTCCGACCCTAGCAGGACCTGGGCCCAGATGGCCGAGCACGAAGAGCGGCTACAGCAGATTCTACTTGAATTCCTAGCTTCTAATAGCCGGATCGATATTATCGGTGAACCTTCGGCCAGTAAGGAGCTCCGCGTGCCTGTTATTAGTTTTGTTGTGCCGGGAGTGGGCAGCCAGCGCCTTGTGGAGGAGGTTGAGCGTCGATCGGCCTTTGGGTTCCGCAGCGGCCATATGTACAGTCACCGGCTACTGGCCGACGTATGCGGATTGGAGGATGTGGAGGATGGGGTGGTGCGGGTCAGCTTCCTGCACTATAACACCGGTGAGTGGGTAGCTCGATTGGATTCGTTCGATACTAACAAGGACAGAGGCCGAAGTACGGGGGCTGGTAGAGGTGTTGCGAGAGGTGCTTGCATCGTTGTAGATAGCTTATGTGCATCGTGCAAAATAACTACCTGGATCTACTTATCACTATATGCTATGGAGATATTTTCCATTTTTGAGGATTTTCTTGTTTCCAAGCTTTCTCCCACTACATTACTACAGACCGCATATTTCGCCACCTGCCCTGCAGTTATCTCTAACGGATGTCCGAACTTTCGAGAAATCCAACTTGAAGCCTGACCTTGTAAAACATTTCTTTGTTTTCAGCCTAAGTTCCCACCGTGAGGTCATCTGAGTTGAGAACTCCCAAGGTTCCCCAGCTCCATGAAGGCTGCAGGCAACCCCAACCAGCAACGCCGATCGCAGGGTCAACCAATAAGCATAGAGATAATGGTGGAATAATGGGAATGATAGTGGATCACAGCCTAACAGCCGCGTGTGGATTGGCCAAGATGCGAAGACAGCGTGGCAAGCGGCTTTATGACTCAGTGGAACATGGACAGTGCTTACAGAGAACCTTAAGAATGGATGGATTATAGTTATTGTTGAATATTTCCCTTGCTGATTTGTTAAAATGGTACTTTTCTCTCAAAATAAGATTAAATCACATAAGTGGCTACACAGACATACCTAGGTAAGGTGCCACTGCATGGTCAAGTCATTCCAAGTTCGTTTTATGCCTAGATAATGATAATAATATCATAGTGATCAATAGATATAGAATATCTAGAAGATACAAGATATCAGACTATCTAATATAGAATATAATAGCATATTAATAGTATATTAATAGTATATTTAATGGTGTATATATAACAAAAAGCTGATAGAAACGTGAGTCACCGTCGTACCACTCCAGGGCTTCTCCTATCTCGGAGTCTCTTCGCCGCATCCGGGTTTTCCCTCTCACACCATCTTCACAATGTTCCTCTCCTGATTCTACGATTCTACTTAGGATTCATATATATACAAAAGAAGTAGAATATTTGACTATATTCTATTTCTATATACGTGTGGTCCCTGCGCCTCCCGGCATCTTCCTAACCCGCCACCCACTTCTTCTCGCCACAGTGTGACTATTCTTTTTCCCCTTCCCATTTTTGCCCCCCTCTCTTAGTCAACTTAAGAACAGATTTTGAAAAGAGTCATAGGTAATGTCGTTCCATAAATGCCTTCCTTTTCCTTCTGACTCCTCCGCTAACACATCTCGCCTCCCCCTCAGCCTCTCCTCTCCCCCCCCGACTCTCGCCTCCCTCTCTGCCTAGCCCGCTTCAACGACTGCCTTGTTCAGACAGCCACCAGCCTGGTTCTGCCTGTCCACGGCCCGTTGGATGCCTTGATATAACTTCTTTTCTATCACACGACTCATTTCAAAATGTACCTTATTGATTCATCCGTTCCGATCGCCTGTGCTGCTGTTACCGACCTCCGCATCGTCACCGTCTCTGGTTCCATCTAATACACTCGGAAAAAAAGAGTCATACTACCACGTGCCCCTGCTTTGGTTTTTATATCAGAAGCACTTGGTTGATCGGATCGTGAATACGTTTTCCTTCTCTTGTCTTTATAGTTGATTGTTTCCCCTTTGATCTCTTTTTAGCCGCTACACCCGGCGGTTCCGCTTATTCTTCTACATCTGGTTATCAACCTGGATCTCTACGTTTAAAGGTCTGCCGTCGCCTTTCGTCGCAAAGACGGCTTCTGTCTCCTCGGCTCTCGTTCCCGGTTCCCTGCTTAACGGTATCTTGACACTACGGTTCCAAAAATCGGACCATCTCGCTTTTTATCCGGTTGTTCTTCATTTGAACTTTGTTCACACAAACGCCCTATATGAACTCCACAGTACTTCCGGATATGTCAGGGATGGACGTCTTGGGGATGAACCTCTCAAACCCAAGCTCTCAATTGACAGCGTCTCACCACGCTCACCCCTATGCATCCTCGATCTCCTCCTCCGCCTCCTCCTCTTCCTCATCTGTATTCTCTCTGGATTGCGTCTCCTCGCAGAGCTCGATATCATCGACATCGACCAACCCGGTTGACGTGATTTGGGAAAATGAGAATAGTAGCCAGTTGGGAAGAAATCCGAACGGAGCATGCCCCCGGGCTTTTGTCAAGGGACCTGCTTCCAAGGTGGACGGTGTAGTGCCATCCGAGCTGCGAACGCACCCTCGGCGCACTAACAGTTATTCTTCTAGCGCCCCCCAGTGCGCGCCCTCCGCCATGTCTGCTACGGCAGTCGGAACGGAAGGTGAACTTCGTCGACAACCTCGTCGGTAAGTCTTAAAAAAAAGACTCCTCACGTACGTCATGTACACCCAGCTAAATGATATCCCCCCTCCTTTTAAGACACCGCATCACAGATCGTTGAAACCATCTGGCCCCTTTCCGCCGCGGCGTCCCGCAGTGATGCCGCGACCGGATCTAAAGGGGTCCTTCCTCTCCGCACTTTTATCCAGGAGACACTCCGCCGCTCGCGTACTAGCTACAGTACCTTGCAGGTGGCCTTGTATTATTTGATTAAAGTCAAGCCGCACGTGCCCACGCATGATTTCACCAAGGAGCAGCCTCGGGATCAGTCGTCTTTGCGGGCGATGCAGTGTGGACGCCGGATGTTCTTGGCAGCGTTGATTCTCGCTTCAAAGTATCTGCAGGATCGCAACTACTCCGCTCGTGCATGGAGCAAGATTTCTGGGCTTAATACTCTCGAGATTAACCAGAATGAGCTTATGTTCCTCAAGGCTGTCGGATGGCGCCTGCACATCGATGAAGCAACGTTTCAGCGCTGGACTGATTTGGTCTTGAAGCTGACCCCCGGTGCCGGTGGTCCCCAGGTTACTAAAGGTCAGTGCTGGCAGACTGTCCTACCCAGACTCACCCCTGAATTGGACCTTGTAGAGTCAGAGCCCATGACCCCAGTCTCGGCAATGGGTGGGATGGATCTCGGTCTCTCAGAATACCCTTCGCCTCGCAGTCTGCCAATCAATGAGTCTATGCGCTCCTCGTCGCGCGAACAAACTCCGACTTACGCTCGGAGTCTTCCGCGAACCCTGGAGCCGACTCCGCGCATGGATTATGCCAACTTGGCCATGCCTAGTATTCCACGGCCTATGATGCTTCCCACGCCTCAGATGACCCCCCAATCTCAAGTGTCCGCCACTCCTGCTGCGAGTGTGGCTGCTTATAACACCCGCCGCCCATCCATCTGTACGGCCATGTCCCAGGCGCAGAATGCGTGCATGGCGCGATCAACACTCGATCAGCGCCCGCCCCTTTCATTCTGCCCCCGGACTCAGTCGTTCGATGGTTACCCGGCTGCGACCCGTCGGTCATCTTTGGCTCGCTCGACCTCCTCGGCATCGTCGCCTGACTCGATGGTTTCGGATGTCTCTACCTTGTCGTCCCGCTCTTCGCGGTCGTCATCAGTCTCGTCCAACGCCTCCGGTACTTCTGGCTCAGCGCCAGCCCGTCTGGCTGTTAAGGCTACGTTGCGCTGCACGAGCAATTCCCTCAAGGAGTCCCGTAAGACTCTGGCTATCGCCTCTCCGATTGACGAGAGTTGTCTGGTCGGCGTCTACAGCTCTCCTGAATATCCTAGTTCCATGGGTACTTCGGTCCCAGACCTGTCTAGTTTCTCCCTGGATTCCAGCCTGAGCGAAGCCGCTCAGAGTCTCTGCGAACTTTCCGGCGCTACGCCCGAACGGCGCCAGTGCCGAAAACGTGGACGTACTGGATCCGACGATCTGTTGCTCCAAAACCATGTGCGTCATCTGATCAACCTCGGGACCTCCGGAGATCACACTGTGTTGCCTGATGGACAGTTTCCACGCTCGTTCATGGCGCAACATGGGTCCTCCATTACCCCCGTGCAGACTGGCTCAGTCTCTGGACCAGCAGGCATGAAACGCGCCTGCTGTGGCAGCGAAGCACGCAAGATCGCGTTGAACCCAAGCCTCCGTGTTGCGGAGTACTTGAATTGACTTGCGATTTATTAGCGGATTTTCCTTATTTTCTTATTTCCTTTGTGTGAGGCGAAAAAAGAAAAAAGTCCGTCTTTCTGTTTGTGTTTTTTTTTCTCCCTACGGCGATCTGACCCCGTTGTACATACCCCTATTATCGGGTACTCGGTCGTACGTATTGGGACTTGGGCGTTTGATTCCCACGAAGTGTACGATGTGGTGATGACTGGCGTGTCTTCTACTTGCATCGTGCATCTATTCTCTCACTTTTCCCCCTTTCTTTTATCTACTTTTGTGGTTGCGCACGGAGTGTGGTCGGCATGGGACGGTTATGGTCTTTTATTTATCTGGTTATTGGGGGAAAGCGGGCGTCTGCCCTGATTATACCTGTATCAACTCATCCATCTAGGGGATGGTATAAGTGCCATCCCGAGGGTTCCTCACCCTCAGATAGGATAGTCAATCCAAATACAGCTTAACAGCGATATCGGCTCCCCTCGTATTTCTAAGGCACATGATAGGAGGTCTGACCGTGCAACCTTCCAACCTTGGAATGGGAAATCCATCCATGGATGGTTCCGCTGTGAGTCATCCAGGCATCAACAATGGCTGGGTGTGGCTGTGGCTCATGTGGCTGTGGAAATATTCCCAGGCATTAGCCCTGTTTCTAAGTATAGAGTGGAGCCCCTTATGCATAGCACATATCATTCACAGATTGGTTTTTGCAAGGAGCTGCGTACTTTTATTCCAATACTGGGGTGCTTGAGCATATGCAGACAAAAGTCCCATGTCTATCTGCGACCAATTTTAAACCTGATCCAATACTAATCAATACACTAGGGTGCGCTTTAACAAGGTCTTCTTGCTTCCTCGCATATCGCCGATGCTTGATTTGATGAAATACCCCTGGTAAGTCAAATATGGATGCAAATGCTTAACCTATGTACTTGTAGAAACGAAGATGTACAGTTGGATCTCCGAAATATTGGGCTAAGCCTTTGTACATATTACCGCCCTATATACCGCCTGTTCGTTTTATACTGTCACAAGAATATATCGTCGGCTGCTTATCCGGCCGTGGTCATCTTAATAGTTTCTCAGGTAGTCTTCTCCGGTAGTCTTCTTAAATGTCTTTTTAGTCGCCTTTGTTAGTAGTCTCCTTGGGTACATACCTTTGACTGCTAACCGTTAGTGCTGAATCACGTGCCTACACGCTAACTATATTAGGAGCTTTAGACTGGCAGAACCGGCAGAATTTGGAGGGCGGTATATCGTGGTACAAAGGTTTAGCCCAATATTTCGGAGGTCCCACTGTACTCATCTTCCGGTCACCTCGCTACCACGTGACCATATAACTGCCCTAAATATCAGACACGATATAACCATTCTGGCAGCAACATGAAGATAAAAAGGGCACACTGAAAAATGCATTAAAGAGCGCAACATGGTATCGTCAAATATAACATTTCATATCAGCCCGGGCTAAATGGATATTCACATCAATATCAAAGAAAGCTCAGACAGCCTTTTCCACATCCATATGTTTCTCCTGTGTATCAAGAACCACATCCTTCCCGTCTGGGGCATCTGCTTCCATTTCCTTCGACCACCATACCTCTATCGTATATCTCGTCAGGTAGAACAGCCCGGTCGATCCGAGTCTCCTGCGCGGGAAATAGCCATGATAACGACAGATAGGCAATAGATGTGGCAACAAAGCCCAACAGCCACCCAAACTCATACGGATGTATACCCACACCGACATCGACATGAGAGTCCACAGCGTTGATCAGCCCGGGAAGGCTCGGTGCAACACCCACAATAAAAGACAATACGGCGCGCCAGTTCGTGCCAGACATACTCTTGCCCGAGAGGCCCGGGATAGCGAATGTATAGCGATATCTCGGGTTATGAGGCTGGTATAGAGCGAGGCAGTCATATCGACGGCGGTTAACAACCCAATAGTCAAACATCATGATTGCAGCAATCAGGACCGAGGAAGATGGCGTATGCAGACATGAAAGAGAGGAAGTTACTTGCCGATTCAAGGATCTTCCAGGGAACAAGACACCATGACAGCAAGGCACATAGGATCTGCCCTCGCCGGATGTTGATATACCCTGGTGCCAGTGCGGTGAAATCGTTAGCGGCCGAAAGAGAATTGGCCGAGATGTTGACGCCCAGGGAGGCTAGTGCGAAGGAAGCTGCGCCGAAAAAGCGACACGCGCGATTGGACCAGTAGCTGATCAGGACTGTTGGATCCCACGGGATAGAAGAGAGGTTATAGTGAACTTGACCAGCGGACGAGGCAGCAATTCCAATAAAGGAGAAGAAGGTGAATACGATAGGCAGCATAGGGATATAAAGGAGCTGCCACCGGGGACTGACGCGGGAGTAGCGGGTGAAATCAGACATGTTGACAGAAAGAGTGGAATAATTGCCGAGTACCGATGTCATATTGGCCAAGAACAGCCAGCTATACTTGGATCCGGTGACTGTCGGAGCCTGCTTTGCGAATACTTCACCACCGCCTTGTACGGTGACGAACGACCATATCAAGATAGTGATCCAAGCGATGGGAACCAGAATCGACTTGACTGTAAATAACCAGCGCAGCTTGTTTGGATGCATGCAGAGAAACGGGACCTGGATCAACCAGAAGATCAGGTACCCGACCATACCGGCTGTCGTGATTCCCTGTGACTCGGGAATAGCATTTGGAAGGTCCAAGAAACTTGGCCAGATTGCTCCAATCATGACACGAACAGCATTTCCGCCGTTGACATTTTGGATAGCAAACCAGAAAATGGCAAGGATGACTCGCGAGATGATGGCGATATATGAGCCCCAAAAGCCCCAGCTGGCACGAGCAATCACAGGGAATGGAACATGGTATATGGCGCCCACAGTACCATTTGCTGCGATGACCAACGATATGATGAAGAAGGACAAGGCGACAATGCCCAGAGCTTCACGGTAGGTGAGGCCGACGGCAATCATACCGCTGGCGAATTGCCAGGTTGCTGCGTGCAAGGCATCGGAGATCCAATATGCTAACAACATGTTCTGTTAGCTCTAGTCTGGTGTTTACCAAAGATAAGCACAAGTGCTGTACCTATTATACTGGATACACCCCATTTGCGCGCATTTTTGGCAATCGGGTCCAGATCACGGTTTGTCCATCGTGCATTGCCTGCTGCAAATGCAGACTCGCCCTGTGAGACCCGTATATGCGGCCTAGAGATGCGTAACTCCATAATTGAAGATGAATCGGTGGGATGGGTGTTCTAATATAAGGAGGGTTCGAACCCCGGTCCGAAAGTTTTCGTTGTATAGGCTGATGTCTCACCACCACACAAGCGGAACAGCTCAACGACACAAAACATAAGATAGCGAGAGCAAAATAAATGCAGGTCCGACGTCTTCTTAATCCCCAGATTTGCCCCCCGTTCTGTCCCGTGCACAACAGGGATGATAAGAATGATAAGCCTGCATTATGCAGATAAGACTAGGGGGGACGAATGAGAAGGAAGAGCTCAAAGATACCTCGTAAAACTCGTTTAGGGTGGAGAGATACAGAGATATGCTTAATTGCTATCCATGCTGCATGCGCAGTAATGCAAAAGAAAACGAAACTCATGCGATCGTCACTGCGCCGCACTATGCCATTCATCGATCCCTATAGAAAGTACCTAGGTGTTCTCTCTACTGCTTCTCACCCGGCAAACGGACATCCTGCCACCCTCTTCCATCACCAACGCCCTCTACACTGCCGTGTGGTCGGATCCCCTGCCACTCCGTGAGATTGATCCACCCAATCTGCTGCACATCTCCAAACCCGCCAATCCAGTAAGCATGGGTGACCACCAACCGGGCCCAGAAACTCGCATGAGGTGAGTAAGAAGCACCAGGTAGCCAGACCTTAGCATCAGGATGAGGCTCGAGGAAACACTTTTCGAGGGCCGCAGCTGCGTCATCGGGAAGCGGGGACGGGAGGTAATCCAAGTATCCAAAGAGGGTGACCCGAGGTAGAGCAGCCGGGCTGAGAGGAAGACCAGGATAGACCGGACCAGCCTCATTAAGGTGATCCCACCAGTCTAACTGGAGACTGAGATTAGACCCCGCTGCAATATTCTTAAAGGTGGTTCCAATTCGAAGGCCAAGAATTGTTGGATCGCCGTTATCATCGTGAGACACATCCGAGGGCAGGGATCCATCACAATCGGCAATGTACTCGCGGAGCGCGATAGAGAGACCGGCAACATCTGAGGGGGCGTGTGCGGAGGGTGGGATGGATTCAGGGAAGTTGGTGGAGATGACGGCAGAGGGTGACAACGCAAGCAAACGGCGGGCCATCAGAGTCGAGGTAAACCAGGACGGGCGGTTTAAGGCACTTTGGTCTTCGACATGGTTAGAGTTTGGACCCTGGTCCACACTGTTTGGTGCACCGAGGAAGGCCTGGAGATTGTCTGGAGGTGGGACAACAAAGCCGTGGGCCGCAAGGGGTAAAAGCAGCGCGACAGCGCCAGTGAGGATGGAGGCCGAACGAGAGACCATCATGACGGCTAATCAGATAGACAAGTTGGCATCGAAATAATTTCCAGAGGTTCAGAGGAGGGAAGAAGAAAGCAGAATGAAAGTAGAAGTGCGGAGAACATCAGCTGATAGCAATCTTATCTGATCAAGTCACGTCACCACCTACGGCAGTCTCTAGCCGCCAGTGGCGCCACTGATTCTCCTTCGGTCTCCGGGTCCAAGTATAGCTGGCTGTTCTTGGCCAATATGACACCGGTCCTGGACAATTACTTGTCAGAAAATAAATGAAAAAGACCAAGGCTCAGGCTGGCAGAGATCTAAATGCGTGGGGCGTGAGAATGAATGAGAAATGAATAAGGTGATACCTCCCTAGGCCTCAATAAATATCAATAATAATATGAAAGAACCTGAAAAGATACTGCAAAAGATGCCACAAATGTCGGAAAAGATATAACTAACCATTGCAGCTATAATACCAAGATTGAAGCATGATTAACAGATATCAATCCCTAGGTAGTGTAGTCAATCGCTCGAACAACCCTACACGCGTATTCTGGCGTCTTGCTCATTCTACTTCTTCCATAGCATTACAAGTCGTCAAGTGGTGATGCGCTGATCTTACATCTTACATCTAGATCGATTGATTAGGTCACATCCTCATTACCTATGTAAGAATAAAGACCGTCCACGGGTATAAGCGGCCGATAACCTGTGCCTCGGAAACATCAGGATCTGGATGTATCTCCGTAGACGACAAAGAGGCATCTCTTTCGGAAAGTAAATTGAGGGAAGGAATGACATGGCGAAGTGATCAGAGGACCCGAAGGTGGGTAGTAGTGTAACGCTGGAAAGACCAGGGAAGATACATGTCAAGATGAGATTCATCATTGGTATTTGATACTATTTGTTCAACTGCGTGACAGGCATGACATAGCGTCATGTGGATGCTCACAAGTACATCGAGATTGGCATTGCGGCGCTTACTTGCGCTTTGGCTTGGGTCGGATGAAAGGATCTGTCTCCTTCTTTTTGCGTACCATCGGGGGTCGGGGCCTGGGAGCACCTGGATTGGGAGCCTATATTGATAAGAAATCGGTATGAGTAATTAAACGAAAGTAATTCAAGAGCATAACGCTTACATTTGGTCCTGGCCTCGTCGGCGGAGCCCTCGTCGGGTCATTTTCGCTCGGATACGCCTGGCCATCGCGAGAGGGTTTGATGAGACCCTAAGAAATTGTGTACTATTAGCATACATGAAAGCCAGTTATTTAATGGGCGGAAAAACTCACTCCTGGTGGGCCGTTGGTTGGCGGGCCCTTCGAACCATTGCGAACATTGGCCACCGGATTGTCGCGAGGGGGGCCAGAAAGGCCGGGGTGGCCACTGACCCTTGAAACAATCGGACCACGAGCAGTGGGACCAGATAGACCGGGATGGCCAAGTCCCAATGGGCCCCTTGGAGCATTGACTGGGGGACGAGGCTGCCCTGTACGAGGACGTTGCGCTTGTGGTCCATCAGAAGTAGATTCTTCACGTTTCCTCTTCGCGGAATTATCAACAGCGTTCGCTGGCGGGTTTGAATTTGTGGCTTGAACAACAGGGATTTTGGGATTGTGTCCTCCCAGTTGGCGCTCTCGCTGATGCTCAGTGAATGAATCTTGACGTCGCTTAAGGTTGAACTCGTCTCTCTCAAGGCGAGATTTCTCGAACTTTGAAAGAACTTTCGTGGACTTGCAGTTGAGGGACGAATGCCCACATTCGCCGCATTCAAGGCATCGTTCAGCGCGACAGGCAACCTTGGTGTGACCAGACTGACCGCAGCGGAAACAGGTTCCTCGAGCATTTGCCTTTGCCTCGTCATTGTCACAGTTGTGAGTGAAATGGTCGGCGCTTCCACATATCCCACACATTTTCGTCGGGTCTAAACCCTTAGGTCCCCCAGAAGGTCCATCAGGTCGTGGAATTGGGGGTGTACCGCGCCCAGAGGCAGAGACCGAGACAGAGCGCGAGTCAAGTCCAATAGAGGCTGATGAAGGTCGAGAGATTTGCGGTGCAGGGGGTTCATAGTCGGGAGAGTCTGGTCTTTCTTGGGCGTCAAGGTCAACCATTTCAATCTCCTTGTAGCCAGTGAACTGCGGCTTTTCCAGGATTTTCATAATATCACCCTCCGTGTAGACATTTCGTTCCCGCGCGTTCTTGATCAGTCCATTCCAGAACTGACCCTGTTCCAGGGACTGCGAGTTGCCCAGAACCCAAAGCGATGACTTGGCACGGGTGAGACCGACGTTCATACGGCGGATATCAGCCAAGAAACCAATACCCTTGTTGGATGCTCGCACACAGGAGAAGATGATGACCTCGCTTTCCCTACCTTGGAAAGCATCAGTCGTATTGAAATCAACCTTCCGCAGAATGTCTTCGCCGTATCGTTGAGTGAACTGGTTCTTGAGCTCTCTCAGTTGGCCTTTGTAGGGTGTGATGATTCCAATCTTGCCCGCGAAGTCGTATTCTTTGACATCCGTGATCAAACGATCATACAGTCGCATGGCTACTTGTAACTCTGCGTAATTGACCAAAGAGTGACCCCTGACTGCAGATGAGTGCATGCCCTGAACATCGAAGAATCGGTAAGGACCAAGAAGCTCGCTTTGATGCCAGGGACGTTGGCGAAGCTTAGCCATGTCCGGTCCATCCTGCAGCTTGCCATCGTAGAACGTCACACTGGGGAAATGGCTGATGGCCGGGTGCATACGGTACTGGATATCCAGCAAGTGCACGTCCTGAGGGTGGTTTTTCTGCATGCGGACGAACAAGCTCTGTTCATACTGGAACTTGGAGGCCATTTTTGACAGAACAGTTGGAGGTAACTGCTTAGGGTCACCAACAAGAACACACTTCGAGCAGCCGTACTTCAGTGGGATAAGAGCACTGAGTTCAATACACTGTGCCGCTTCATCGATGATGACGGTCTCAAACTCGACATTCATACCCTGGAAAATTTCATGTCCAGAGCCACTGAGAGTAGTGCAAATGACATGGGATTCGTTGATGATTTGTTCTTGGACCCGCCGTTTATGCATATCAGCATTGCGGGCCAGCGTGTGGTTCTGATCACGGGCCTTATCGATGGACGTGCTCAGTTGAGACCGTTTCTTTTTCATCAAGTCAAACTCGCGCTCCAGCTCTTCCGGGGGAGGCAGTCCCTTCGCTCGCGCCTCGTCGAGCTGCGCACGAAGCTCTTTGAATGATGTATCAGTCGTCTTATGCTCTTCATAGAGCTTCTGCAAGTCGACACCGTTTCCTTTGCTGGGATCCTGGTTCAGACGGGCATTGACCATCTCCTCGAGGGTAACGTCTAACACCTTGGTATTGATCGCGTCGCTTCTTCCTAGACGAAGGACAGAGACCTTTTCTTGGCGACCATGAGTCGTCTTCACACCATCCTTCAATCGCATGACTAATTCGTCGACAGCGGCATTGCTAGGTGCACACAGGAGTAGTTTTTTCGAGAGGGCATTTCTCGCAACGGGGGCACCATTAACTTTGAACACCTGTTTTCCAAGCACGTCGCTTAAGAGACTTCCGACAAGTGCGATGATTGTCTTGGTCTTTCCTGAACCAGGAGGACCCTGGATGAGAGTAAACGCGTCATTGTCAACAGCTGACTTGATGGCTCTTGCCTGAGCACGATTGATGGAGTAATTATCCATGATGGTCTGCA